GGTAGAGCACATGAAATGGTGCTACTACCTGGCCCCAGGATAAGCTTCTGGAGCAGACATACTGAAGCAGTAAAGTAGGCCACATGGTTAGAACATTCTTCTAATACTATTCCTCAGCTAGAGCAAACATTTGGCCTTGCTTATTGGATTTAACTACTCACAAAAGACATGTGTCCTGATGTCATGTGCCAGTCAGTTATCCAAGTGGCAGCAGAGACAGGAGGTTTACATAGGGATGATCCAGCTTTGAGCAGAGAACTAGATGACCTCCTGTGGGCCTTCCAGCCCTTTCTTTTCCATTATGCATGTCCTTATAGGGCATGAAAGATGAATATGGTGAGAGAGCAGCACGCTTGCTCTAAAACAGTGGTCTCCAAAGTGGGGTGCACAAGACAATCCATTGGGGTGCGGGAAGAAAGTATTAGAACTTCTATTTGTATTTCTATAAATATACATATATTGGGGGTGCGTGCTCAAAAATTTTTTTACTGACGGGGTGCACGATCAAAAAATTTGGAGACCACTGCTCTAGAAAGATGGGTGTTTGTGTGCATGTGTGTATAGTAGACAGTAATTTAACTAACATTCTGTGTTCACATTTTACATTCCTCTTAAATACAAGGGGAAGTAGGAACCCAGGGTTTCTCTGTAGACAGAGCTGTAAGTGTAAATGCAGTCACCTGTGATGTTTTGGTTTCTGGTAAAGTGACCCAGCCATATCTTCTGCCTCTGTACTGGTTGGGTCCTTTTCCCTTTGTTAAGTATAAGATTCTTGTAAGGCTTTCTAACATTTTTATATTACTAGTGACTTTAGGTTCATCATAGCAAACTTTTATTTGGGAATTATATCATTTTCTACATCACTATTTGGAAAGGTGATGGGGTTTTGAATCCACAAAGGAGAGAAAAATACTGGAGTCACAGTCAATGCACAAATAATAGGCCCTTTAAGGCTTGGGAGCTTGTTTACTTTCCATTGGAACTATATAAGCCTGCCAGTGAGGTAAATGCGTCAGTTCAGACTGGGCAGCAGAAGAGACAGGAGCTTTGTCTTAGGGAGTCGTACTGGCCAGCTCTGAGGAGAGGCACCATTCCTGGATACATTCAACATTGAGTAGTAACTGAAGCTGTGGACAAGGGAAAAGGTGGAATCCTAGGATAGGGAATACAGCTGATGTATCCTGGAAGATTGAGGTAGGAAATCATCAGAAAATTGTTTTGTGCTATGGGGGTTTATTGGGGCTGTTCTCAGAGCAATTCAAGACCAGGAAGGAGAGTGTGGGCCCGGGTACTTCCTCTTCAACCTCACCCAGCATGAGGGAATACGTGGCTGCCACCAAGCAGAGTATCTAAAGCAGGCTTGTCCAACATATGGCCCGCAAGCAGCCACGCAGCCTGCCAAGGCATTTTCTGTGGCCTGTGGTGCTGCGATGGGAAACGAATCATTCCCGCCCCTTGTCCCTCCCCCAGCCCCTCAGCAGCTTCGTAATGAACAAGGTTCCTACACGCAACGCGTTGGCAACATCAAGCTGACGCGGTGCGTGTGGGAAGAGGAGTGCAGACCCGGCCTGCCTCCTCCCGGTCCCAGCACCACGTGGGGAAGCCACCTCTTCCCAGCCCGAGCAACTCGCCACCTCTGCCTGCAGGCAAGGGACTGCCCAGCTTGACCGCCTAGCCCCAGGTCACTGGCAGAGGCAGAGCAGCATGGGCAGTCGGCATTGGCCTCACTGCGCAGGGGTGGCCCTGGGCTTGGGTGGAGCCTGCACTCGCTGCACCCTGAGGTGCCACCTGGCCCTGGCTCCAGCTCTGGCTCCCTCCAGCCCGGCCCAGTGCGGCAATGCAGACCCGTGGAGGCGGCGTGGCAGCCAGGCTCGCCCTTGTCATCTGCCTCTGCTGCCTGCTGCCCGGCCGGGGCACCACAGGTAGGGCCAGGCCAGGCTGGGCTGGGGCCAGGGTCAGGGCAGGAAGACAGCGCCTCCCCCGGGGCCGGGCCGGTGACTGTGGGCTCCCAGCACCTATGTGTGTGGGGGGGTCCCTGCCTTTCACAGTTCTGACCCAGTGTCCCTCACTCCTCCTACCTCCAGACCCCAGTGCCCCAGTGTGTGGGGCATGGGGGGGCCCAAGTAGCCCCTTGCAGGCTGGAACTCTGCCAGCCCACAAGAGAAAAGCCACAGTTATATGTTTTTCGCCTTTAAAGGAGAACCCACTTTTAAAGTTTGCTCGTGACCTTTTCATATATTCTTGAGACTTTCATTGGTGTCAAAGGTCACATGACATCACTTCCTAATGTGATACCACTTCCTGTGAGGTCTTTGAATATGGCTTGCCGGCCCACTGGGTGATAAAAAGTTTGTGATCTGGCCCCACATTCAAAAAGTTTGGACACCCCTGATCTAAAGCAAGTGATAAATTCATGCAAACTATAGCAGAGATGATTGCTGCATGTTGAAGAAATTGCAGTGAACAGCCTGGGGACTGCACAGGTGGCAGTGTCCACCTCCTGACCTGTCACAGAGAGTTAAAGTCAATTATAAAACAAAACTAGGAGTAAGTGCAAACATTTCCAAGAAATAAAATATCTAGATCAAAGTTTATTAAAGCTTCTGTAAATTATGTTACCAAGGCAAAATATGATATGGATCTGAGGTACCCTTTCTTGATCAGTACATCCATGCAGCGACTGTACTTCCATGCAAATGGCAGTGTGAACTGAAAGGCAGAACCGAGCCAGAAGTTATACCTCGGCTACAACATAGCTGTGAAAGAGCTGATTCAGTTATGATGCAAAGCACAAAATGCTTGATTGAGAAGGGCAAGTGTCATAGAAAAAGTCATTTCTGGATTAGATTGTGACTTAACTGAAGACAACTAAAATGTTAATGTGATTTAAACTTCTATTAGATGCCATACATGTGCTGTAGAATAGCCTGCGGTTACATCATTCCACAGGACAGAGGATCCTAAGCTGTGGCCTGCGGATCACCGTGGTCTGCAAGGCCCTGGTAAGTGGTCTGGAAACAGAACTCTCCTTCCTCCTGGTTAATCAGGCCACAAGTTCTGGTTCCAAAAGTTTTGGAGCCACTGCCATAGAGAAACCAGAGGAACAAAATTTTTTGTCCTAAAAGAAATGCTGGTATTTTTTTTAGCTCATTTTTCTTTTGTGAGAATGGGATTATATTGAGTGCTGTATACTCACTTCCACCCATCTAAGTAGTTTTTCCTGAATGTATCTGTTATCTTTAAACTTCTTTGTGTTAAGCAAATCAGCAACAAACTCTCTTGGTGTGATCTGCAGGGTCTAACATAAAACAAAGGCTTGTAAGTCAACCTCTGCCTCCAAATAGTACTCTCTTCCAGCCTCTGCCAATGAGTCTTAGCCTCATTCTTGGTGAAACTAAGCTCTGGGCAAAGAACAAACCAAGTCTCTGCTTTGTCCTGAGAGATTTTTAATATGTAATTCCATAGCCCAGGTAAGGGCTGTAACCTCTGAACTCCTGGGTAAAAGGCTCTTCCTCATCAGGCACCTCCTTTTGAAGGGTCACTCCTCATCTTGGTTTTTAAAGAAAGGCCTGAGGTCTCTGCCTAAAGATCTACAGGACAGGGTCCATGGCTACAAATCACTATTAGAGCTATATGTTTAGGCCCCGTGACTCCCAGAGGCTCAAGTCCTGCCAAATTCTCAGCTTTTCCTACTGGCCAGCTTAGGAAACTTTCTAGTCAGTGGGCTGGCTGTTAAGGCTCCTAGGGATGTGATTCCTCCCCCCGCCCCTTCCTATGCATGTTAACCAGACCTGGGCTCCCAACAAAGGGCTGTGTATTCCCCTAGGTAGCAGAATCCCTATGTCAGGCACTGTGATACGTAAGGATATGTTTCCAGCATATCCACAGTGTGTCCACACAAGCAAGGTCCCAACCCCAGAAATAGGGCTAAGAAGCCACCTCATGCTTCAGTGCACTTTAGGGCAGCTGCTAGGGATGACCTTGAAATGACATGTTTCCATGTTTGGAGCATACAAGTGAAATTGGGTAGGAAGAGCCTGTTTGGGACATGTTGCTGCCATGGTATAGATCAGGGGTGGGCAAAATACAACTCATGGGCTGAATCTGGCCCACCAAGGTATTTTATCTAGCCCATCCACTGTGAGGCCCTTGGCTCTGCCTGGCCCAGGCACGGGGGACAGCCCAGGTCATGGCACGTGCTGCCAGTTCTGCCATCCCTGGGCGTGCAACAGAGCTGGGGTGATGTAGCAGTTGGACTTCATTTCCTAGCAGATTCAGAGGCTGGGATCATGGGGAAGTGACAGCATGTTGCTGTGCAGGGAGTAGATCTTGGCTCTGCCCTAGGCCCAGGCCCCTGCCCCAGCCTGTGCTGTCACCGCCCTGCAAGCCCAGCCCCAGGCCTACCCACCTGCCCATCCTGATCCCAGACACCACTCCCCACCCACCCGCAGCCCCATCCCATTCACCCAGGCAAGCATGCCCTGCCCACAGGGGTCCTGGGCTGGTCTCCATGAAGACTCCATCTAGTGCCCCCAAATTAGCCTACTAATCTACTGCTTAGGGAGTTTTGATAAGCTGTTCCGGACTGGGTTGGGAGAGAGGGGGAAGATGCCGACCCAGCCTGCAACAGCTCACCAAAACTCCCTAAATGGCCCTCTAGCCCAAATAATTGCCAACCCCTGCTACAGATGAACCCTAAGTCTCCCTTGCCCTAAGTAACTTCAGGAGCCTGAGAAGAGATGGATCCACTGGAACTGTTAGGAAATCATGCTTACCCAAAGCTTGTTCACTAGGATCACAACTTTGTCTGTGATTTCCTTGGGATCCTTCTGACTGATTGAATTCAGGATGATGTCAGTCAGAAAACAGTGGCACATCCTAGCATAGAATATCTCTTCATGTGACAGAGCAAAACTTAGGAAAACAATATCTAGAAGGAAAGTTTCAAATAGCAGAGCATTAGAAGACCTATTTCAGAGTGCTGGCCTCCTCAACTAGCCAAATACTAGCCTCTTTATTTGTCTTCTCTGGTACACTGCCACTCCAGAATCCTGCTATACTCAAGAGTCAGAACTTGGGGAGGGTTTAACATATTTCAAGACCTGCCTTCTCAAGTGTTGTGGAAAAATGAAAATGCTGAGTAGGCCTTCCCATAGGCATTCACAGTGGCCCATATCTAATGTAAAGCCTACTGATGTACAGCAACCTCCAGAGCAGCTACATTGATTTAACTACAGAGATTTCTCCAGGTAGGCTGATGGATAGTCATGTGCATGCATGCCTACTCCCAGCAGAACAAGGAGAGGAGGGGGTGCTCCATGGATTTCCCCTCTGTACCTCCTTCAAGGCATGAAGGGCAGGTAGTTACAATTAGGGGAGCATCTCATACAGATGACAAGCAAATAAATTAGTGGCTATGGGCCACATGCTCAAAGGTACTGAGATGCCTAAGTTTTCCTGAGATCACTTATTTCAATGAGAGTTAGTTGTAGCTCAAACTAGTCATGCACCCAACTCTTTGTAAGGTTAGTTAAAGTTGCTCAGTTAGATGGGGTTTTTCTGGACTGTTAAAGCTATAGATTATTTATGATTGTTACTCCAGGATCAGAGTTGCCCATGCCTGAGTCTGCTTGAACCTTTTCTAGGGTCAAACACATACAACGGTCTTTCAAATTTTTCAAAGCAAGGGCTTAATTCATTCAACCAAAAGAAACTACCAGTAATTGAGTTGCCTCTGTAATGCTTCTGTTTTTCTCTAATGAATACAAATGTGTTGCCTGTAACTCCCAGCAGAAAACAGACTTATAAAAGCTTTACTAATTTTACCAAGAAATATGGGTCTATAAATAGAAAGAGGATTTAGGTTCAGCAGTGTAATGCTCAACCTGTTGCCTACACAATGGAACTTTCAGTGCCAAGTTAGGCATCCAGGCTCCTTATGCAATGCATGGGTAGGCAAGAGCTGAGCAAGTGGTTGAGGATCTAAATGTTTGACTGTGCAACTGAAAGTGGCAGTTAGGATAAGACCCTTGGGCATGTCCCCATGAGCACTCATGTGTGGTCTGCGGCACCTCAAAGACATGAGATGCTGCAAACTGCACGTAGTGCACGTGCATCTGTGCTCCATGCTGCTAACTTGCAGCGCAACAGGGTTTTTTTGACACCAGGAGATCCCGGTGTCAAAAAAAACGCCACCAAAAAAAGCAGCGTGGCACAATGCAGCATGGCATGGTATAGTGAGTGCACACAGCAGCAGCATGCACCACCAGAAACTGGAGTTTAACAGGCTGGAGCCATGCTCTGGCTGCCAGCCAGGCTCTGAGTGGCTGGCTTGGCACTGCTGCTGCCCCAAGAGGCCCCCAGGACTCCAGGTAAGGCTGCTGGGGCCAGATACATGCTGGCCCCAGCCTCCCCTACCCCACCTGGTCTTTTTGTCATGTGTTGGAGCACGTGTGCAGCAGCATGCCTGGGGACAAATAGCAGCTGCACAAATATGTGCCACTATTTGTCCAGTGGGAAATGCATGCTCTTACACATGCATGCTCGAAGGGCTGTATCACTTGTGTCTTTTTGCTGGTACTTAGCTCCTCAATGTAGAACAGTAAATGTTGTCCAAATCATTTGTTTTCACTGTCAGTGGCTTTATAACAATATTTGAAAGCAAACAGCTACCATACCTAAGCATTATATAGTGTAAGATGTACCTTGACATAATGCATGAGCACTTCTATTAGCCAGTTTGCTGCCATCAAGCTGTGTGCTGTAAATAAGACTCTCTTCGTTGTATGCACAAGAGCCATCACTGCTTACAATGGGAAGATGTTCAACTTTAAGAATCAAACCTACATTATTAAATTCTTTGGTTACAGCATTTGATTCATCGTTTACCATTTCTGGAATTAAAAATACATAGACTTATTTCAGAATAAAACCTGAAAAACTATGCATAGGATTAATACATCAACAAACATAAGATGCGGGTCGCAATACTTCCATCCTGATAATCATATTCCTAGCTCTGCTTTATTACTACTATTATTTTGCATTTGCATGGCAAGTAAGGAGTATGTACTAGTTTCCAGACAGAAGGCCAATATTTGCACAGAGGAGTCACCAAGCATTATTAAACTAGATGTGTCCATCTCTTCCTAGGCACAAGAATTTGCTGCAGACATCTGAAGAATCTGAGAAATGGGTCATTTACACACCGCAAACAAGATTCTGGTCTCAGTTATGGAAGTGTTAATATGGAGTAATTAACTTGCACAGAGTTGTTCTAGACATTGCCACTGTAATTGTGATCAGAATTGGTCAAGTGTCAGTTATGGAGGAAGAGCAGGAGTATAAACATCTGCAGATTAGTTTATCTGGGTAAACTAAATAAATTTCTCTTGTAAAGTCACTGAAATGAATGGAGTTACACCAGTGCTGAATTTGACTCATTAGGAAGGATTCCCCAGTACAAGCTGATATTGCTAGTTAAGTGCTGCTGACATAGTACTTCTCTCTTCCACCTCTCTAATTACATTGCCTAT